TTTTTTAAAGATAGCCTTGGTATATATTTTAAATCCTGTCAAATACATTGTATCTTATCAAATTCAAGCTTTTTCCAATACAATCATGCAGTTTCTGCATCACAAGCATGTTCAATTTCTGTATCATAATGGTATTATATCTGCATATCACTAGCATGTAATTTGTGCATCACAGGCATGTTATATCGATATGCATCTGCATTTTATTTTGAATGCTTTTACATCCTCTTATACATTGTACACTTTTATGAATTTAAATATTTTGAACCTAAAATGAACTTGTCCAAATTGTTTATCTAGATTTCTAGTAATGTAGCTCTAAAGTTTACTTGCCTTTATTTGAAACCATGCATCACTGGTACAATATCGTATATCACAGGCTGACGTCATGTCAATTCCACCTCCAACACATGCATTGTGTATGGCTGCTATCACAGGTTTAGGGCACTGCATTCAGAATATTACTGTTGTAAATGTATTTCTTTGATATTGTGAAACTCATTAAACAATTAAGATAAATAATGTGAAATACATGTTCTGTTGGCCTTGAAGTTAGAGCATAAAGGTAAGCAAGTAGCGAGTGGTCATTAACTTTCAGCACTGTGTTCATCTAAAACCTGAATGATTCATTTCACAGTAAATAATTGTACATTCGTATTAGGTTTAATTAATCAAAAGTATGATTCCTTTGATTATTCAGAGCTTTGACATATGAGAAATCAGTGGATATTTATTTTAAGAAATATTTTTCTCAATTTGCAAAATAAATTTCCACTGACTTTCTGCAGCTAGTCAAAGCTCTGATTAATCAACCTAATCAATATTCCCACATAGAAAATCTATAACATTTCTCACTTTCTCAATGACTGTAAATGTTTCCTGATAGTCTCGGATTGTATTCCTTAATTTGAAGGCTTTCCTACCAACTTCCAGGTCTGAGGTCATAAAATCTTCACCCATGTCTGTCAAATCTAATCCTGTCACCAAAAAAAAAACATCATCAGCATCCAAAACCAATAATTAAGCTGAATATTCTTTTTTTTTTTGTTTTGTCCTTGAGAAAAAATTCTGGTACTATAAACAAATTTCACATTACTAAGAGTTCTCTGCAGTTCTCTGTGTTATGCTCATTTTCCCCACATTGTCTTTTGCAAGTTATCTGTTAATATTTTTAATCTTCAAACATTATCAAACAGTTTTGCTCTGTACCTGTTTTGCAAGAATATTTATGGGGCAAATGAAAAACATAATGAACATATTCATACAGATTTTTTTTCTAAGATACTGTCCCATAAAATTGGTAAGGATATAGAGGGAAAATAGTGTCTTACACCAGTTGACCCCGGAAGAGACCCCGCAGAGGGGAATAACTTCTGTAAATGTGAAAGTCGTCTATTCCTTATATCCAACCTTTTGCAAACTGATGTGTTTACCTGCTGTAAAAATTTTGCCCGATCCTGTTAACAAAACGACTCTGCAGTCTTCATCTGTGGACAGTTTTTGAAAACACTCCCTGCACTCCCTAAAACAAAGATGTACAGAGATCTTAGAATGAGCTGTATGTTATGTTTGTTGTTTTGTAGTCTTTGTAAACATTAGGTCTGATGTTTCTTTTTTGACTTTTAAATTTCATAAATTGATCAGGTGCTGAAAGCTGGTATCTGCCCCTCAACCACTTTGTAGAAAAAGATCAGCTTTTGTTGTTGACGTCTAGTTTGTAATAAGGGAAGGTCAAGTTCTTTAAAGGTACTTGGACACAGATTTGAAGTTAATTTTTTCTCTATAATATTACGACTTATATGTTTTAATAGCATTTCACACAAAAATTAATTAAAAATCTTATTTCATTTATAAGTTATTAAAATTTTTATTTTTTTGGCGGGTTTGATTGACACGTCCTTGCCTTTTCACAAATTTTAACTTTATTCTTAATCCTTAGGAAAAATGGCAATTTTGTTGTGTATTAATGAAAAATATTAATACTATAATCCAGAAAATTAAGAGTAGACATGTTCGAAAGCAAAACAAACACACAATGTATTGTCAGTCCGTGCAGTTGTGGTGAGCAGACTTTGGCAATTAAACGCACCCGGTGAATCGTAAACACCAAACAATAACACGCTCTTGCCTTGTTTACAAAAACTGTGTACATAACACGAGTGTGTTCGATTTGCTAAACTCTGTACACAACGGAATGACGATACTTGTGAAGGAGTTTTGCTTTCTAACATTTCTACTCTGAATAAAATTATTTTTCTGGATTTAAGTTTTAATATTTCCCAATAATACACAACAAGATTGCCATTTTTCCTAAGGATAAAGAATAAAGTTAAAATTTGTGAAAGTGCAAGGATGTGTCAATCAAACCCACCAAAAAATTTAAAGTTTAAAAATCTTTTTAATGAAATAAGATTTTTAATTAATTTTTGTGTGAAATGGTATTAAAATATATAATTCGTAATATTATACAGAAAAAATTAACTTCAAATCTGTGTCCAAGTACCTTTAAGTATCTTGGACATTGTACCCTCTTCCCTTCATTTATGATCCTTCATTATGAATCTCGTACCCCTTCTATGTGGACTCTAATTTTGATATTTCCTGTTTGGTGTATGGGTCCCAGATGATAGCCCCATACTCCATTATAGATCTTACGAGTGCGATATATGCCATTTTCCTACATTCCCTTGGACAATGTTGCAAATTCCTCCTTGGCACTGACTTTATTTGAGATGTTATTTATAGTTCTTTCATTTAAGGTCTTCTGATATTTGAAGTCCTATTTAGTAAGGATTTGATGCCACTTGTTCTAGAGTGTGGTTTTAAAGGGTGTACTAGCTGTTAAATTTTTTACGTAATTTAATATATTAATATTTTGACTAAACACCTGTTGGTTATTGATCTAGAGAAAAAGAGAGCATAGTAAACTCTTCAACATTTTCCATACAATGTTAAAGTCCATATTAATGTAACATTAAATCCATGTTAATGAGATGTCATTGGAACAGTCATTAACTGAAATGTCAGTAAAATTACAGGTGCTTTAAGATCACTTACCTCCAAAATGCTCGATTCATTGCATTCAGTTTTTTGGGTCTGTTCATTTCCACTTGTACAACATAATCCTTTGGCCTTGTTACTTTCAGGGTTTCAAAGGTGTACTCCATTGTTGACATGTTCCTTGCTTTAATTCCCAATATCTGGGACTGACCTGAATAATACAGTTCAATCATAATTTTACATAAATATACTATACTACAGGTAAATTGATTAAGAAACATGTTACTTGTACCTTCATTCTATAAATAGATAAATATTATATATTAAATCCCTCCAAAGTACATACTCTTTAAATATTTGTTATACATGTACATATTTACCAGTATTTCATAGACTTATAGAAGTCTGCAGCAATTATTATCATCTTCATGATAAAATTTTCATCATTAAAAGTTATTACAACTGTATATTAAGCTTTTGCAATGAAACTTAGAGATGATGATTCATCAATATACAATACATGTATTACTGGGTACCTAATTGAACTGATTACATAAAATGGCTTCCAAGAGTATATGACAAAAGAGTTACATCAACATTATTTCAACTGAGTGAAACACATATTCCTATAGGAAACAGCTTTAAACTAGTGAAACATAGATGTAACAGAAATGTTAGAAAATACAGCTTCACCAACAGAGAAATCAAATTGTGGAACAGTTTTGTTTATTAAAAACTGTACATCAATTTGAAAACAAGGATAACAGAGATTTGTACTACATGTATGATGTTCCTATGATTTTAAGAAGACCTAGATTGGTTTTGAGGTCAAATGGTCAGTGTAGGAAAATCATATGTTAATTAAAGAAATAGTTTCCACTTATCTGGACTTAATGTTTTACAAAAAAAAAAAATTAAGAAAACAAAAGTTTAACTGATTAAAAAATCTCGCTAAATTTAATTGATTCAATTAAAAATTACTTGAATGCAAAAAAAATCTTCTTGATTTTTTTTTTAAAGACTTAAACCATTTTTAATATGCCCTAGAAGTTAGAAAGTTATTGCAAAATTATAGGCCTATTTCAATCAGCATCGGTTACTATAATTTATTGAAATAAAATAATTCCAAGCGGCAATCCATCAGCATTCCTTTTTACAGGTTGGGATCACTCGCCCAAATAGGATATAATAGTCTGTTTGGGATATAATATACCAAATGGGATATAAATTTACAGTGCAAAAATTAAAAATGATTTTTTTTTTTGGCTGTAAATATAATAAATAGGAGATTGATCCCACGGAAATTCCATAACTTCTTGGGGATCAATCTTACAAACTGTAGGGTTGCAGAAAAACTTGTCAACCAAAAGTTATTCCTTTATATATGTGTCCTGATGCGGATTTATGATATTTATAGCCAAAAATAAAAATTTTCTTTTTTTTTGCACTGTAAATTAAAATCCCATTTGGGATATTATACACAGGCGCTTGTTTCACACAGTAAGCTTAGTTTTCTACTATACACGTGTTATTATATAGTAGAAAACTAAGCTTACTGTATGAAACAACCGCCTTTGGAAACTCCTATAACCAAGAATAGAGTAAGCACCAAGATAATTAATCAAGGATAAAACACAAATTTAACAATGTAAATAAGTTAAATTATAATCAAACAATTATACAGACCAGCAACTTTTCTTTTTTGAATGACACCCAATGAGAAAAATAGTGAGCGAACTTTGGACATGTTGAACAAATCGAAAGTCTTCTTACAAACCGAAAGTAGAATTTTTCAGTCGGTAGTACATATGTAGTTCGTATTATCATTTTAAAAATATTTACTATGTTTGTCAAATGATATATTTATGATAAAAGAGAAAGACTGATAATGGAAAAAAAATATGAAAATGATTAGAGCTATGATCATAAATTCATAATGAAATTGACATTAAACTGTTAAATGCTACAAAGTGAAAGTAGCAGGTAGTAAACAGAGGTTTGCGTAACAGGATACCTTGGGACTTGTATAACTTACTTTCTTGCTTCTCTTAGAAATGTAAACGATGTCAGTTTGGAAATACGCGACTGCAGGGTGTGTTTTTGCTCTTTCAATTATGGTCTTGAGGAAAATGATACGGTTTTATAAACGTGGAATCCCTATTTGCAGTACTAAGGAAATGCGGAACAAGACCGTCATTGTTACTGGAGCAAATTGTGGCATTGGGAAGGCAACGGCACTGGAGCTCGCAAAGAAACATGCCCGTGTCATTATGGCCTGCAGGAATAAGGAGAAGGCAAATGCTGCCATATTAGATATAAGGAAAATGACAGGTTGTGGAGAACTTATCTTTAAATACCTCGATCTCGAATCTCTCAAATCAGTTGAAGCTTTTTGTCAGGATATAATTGAACATGAACAAAAATTACATGTACTGATCAACAATGCTGCTGTAATGAATCACCCTTATGCACAAACTGAAGACGGTTTAGAAATTCATATGAGTGTCAACCACTTTGGAAATTTTTTGCTCACAAACCGTCTTCTTGATTTGATGAAAAAATCATCTCCAAGCAGAATAATATTTGTGTCTTCTGCCTTGCATAAATATGGAAAAGTAAATTTTGAAGACTTTAAAGGCCATCAGAGAAAACCATATGCAGACAGTAAACTTGCTAATGTGTACTTCGCACGCGAACTAGCAGAAAGGCTTCAGGGAACAGGCGTTAGTGTACACACATTACACCCAGGCATGGTTAACACAGAACTGTCAAGACATTCTGTTTCTCCAGCTTTAAATTTCATCGTGAATCCAATTAAATACCTTCTACTCTCCTCAGCAGAAGAAGGAAGTCAGGGCATTGTACATCTTGCAGTGGCTGGTCTAGGCAGTGATACTGGAAAATATTACAACAAAAAAGGGCAGGAAGAAAAGTGGCCTGAGATCTCTTCAGACAAGGCAATGTGGAAGAAAATGTGGGAAGTCAGTGAACAATTGACCCATCTCAATAAAGCAATTTAACAATGCTCAAAGACTTTGTAAGGTTGTTATTTAAGTTTTGAAACAACTGGAGGATATGCAAATCAAAAAAAAAAAGAAAGAAAAGAAAAAAGATCATTGAACATATCACTAAATAAAGTTTACCAAAAGAGTGATGTACACCCGGCCAGCTGACTATGTGGACAGAACAGTGAACTCAGTCAGTCACTGAAGAAATATTTACAAAACTGCTTATAAACTATGAAAAGCTGTGTTAATAACATATTAAATGTCAAATTATAATGTAAAAATGCATTGATCAATGCCTAGCATTATCTCCCACAGAATTCATGATTCATTTTTAAATTCATGTAATTCGCTAAGAGGTAGAAATTTATGCAAAATATTTGTTTCATACAAAAAATCCTTACTTTACAAAGTTTACATACATGTATATATGTATGAAATCCAAAGTCGGTGAGGTATTTTTGTATGAATTGGGTATCCTGTGTTTCCTGAATGATAAATGAATTAAAAAAACACAGGTGCGGATCCAGGTATTTTTTTCAGAAGGGGGGGGGGGGGGGGGGGGGGGTGGGACCAAATAAAAGAAAATCCAACCCAGAAATTTCTTGACAAGCAAAAACATTTATTTTCCAATTTTTCCAATCTGCCCATTCATCTAATATTTTAGACCAGACCTAGCTGCAATAATGTAACCCTCTCCCTTTCTTTTCTTTTTGTTTGGGTGGGGGGAGGGGGGGGGGAGAGAAAACATCAGATTAAAAAAATAAAGTTTGACAAATGATATTTATACATGTAGCAATAAAGCCTCAGAGAAAGCACGACCGAGCATGAAGTGCGATGTCGTTTTCTCTACATCTGAAATTGTTCTGAATTTTGTTAAGATTAAGGGATTGGCCCTATACCATATATAAAAATAATAGTATTTTATATACCGTATAGGGCCAATCTCTATATTCTTTATCTCTAAATCGTATATAAAAATACTAGTATTTTGTACACCATATAGGGCCAATCACTAAATCTTAAAAGCGGAAAATGATATCAGATATCGAAATATAAGAATTATGGACTAGGAAACCATCTTTCTTACACGTTTTTGTGCCTTAAAAAAATTCTCAGAAGCTTGGGGGGGGGGGGGTTACACCATCCATTCGCCAGGTACCTGTGGTTGATAGTGCCCCCAAAAATGTGAGAATGTTTGTCTGTGCCCCCCCCCCTTCAAATTGATATTGCTTCCTACTGGCCTGCAATATTTTTTTCTTTTTGAAAATTTTTGGTGAAGAAATTTTTCACTCTTACCTCATATATATATCGTATACATTATCAATTTAAACATTACATTTCATATTTCTGGGGCAAAAATATTAATGATAGTAGCTAATACTATACTAAAATACACTTTTAGTGGATAATAAGTATATTTTTTGCTATGTATTAAGATATATTCACAAAACTTGATGACCTGATAATTTTGAATGACCTGATATTTTTACTTTACAGATGAGATCCGGTATTTTAAAATGGAATGGAATTGCTGCAAATGTCCAAATTTAATAAAGTTTACCATAAAAATCTGTTTTATATTCCTTAAAATATACTATAAGAATATATCAGGTCATTAAAACCCATCACATCATTAAAAAATATCAGGTCTTTAGTAGGAAATCATCAGGTCAATTTTTTTTTTTCTAAAATTCTGGCAAAAAGATTTGTCTCAAAACCATTTAATATATTTAATATTTCTAAAAGAATTGAAAAAAGTTTCAGGTTATTCAAAACCTTCCGCTGGAAGTCATTTATAAAATTATCAGGTCTTCACTAGAAATATCAGGTCATTCAAAATACAGTGTATCAGATCAACAAGTTTTTGTAAGAACACCTTGATACGAAGGAAAAATTCTCAGTGTTATCTCCTAAAAGGGTATTTTAGTATATTATCATCTATAATTTACTTCCAAAAAATTGAAATAGAATGTTTAAATTGATAATTTTATGTGATAATCTTTTCATCAGGTCAAAATATCAGGTCTTTAGAATATCATGAATATCAGGTCTTTAAATAGTATGTTCCCGCCTTGGCGCCTGACCTTTCGCTTGGCAACATTTACATTCAGTTAAAATTATCAAGAATTCATCTCACCTAACTTTCAAAGAGTTATCACAGAGAATAGAAATCTAGAAATGGAAATAATTAAGGAATCACTGTCTAGTTTGTTAGATATGCCAGGTAAACGTGGGATAATTTGCATAACGAGCGAAGCCCGTTATGCGATATTTCAGCTATAGGGATCGTTGATCTCAACTGGCGGATTTAGAGCCCCCTCCCCCCTTTATGTCAAAAAATATACATAAATCAATGTTTTTGTGTGTGTTACCCCGACCCCAAACTGGTCCCCCCTCCTTTTCTCAATATCTGGATCCGCCTCTGATCTCCCTGGCATATCCAGCAAACTAGACGTGAGTGATTCTTTATATTTTCATTTCAATGTGAAATAAACTTGTAAATTTCGATTTTTTTAAAAAATGAAGTCTAATAGATTTTAATTACACAGGACTATCATGTCAATTTCAATAGTCCCTATCCACTGACGTCAGACACAAAGAAAGACGCACGAGATCGATATGCATATTTCGCCTTCTTAGCTCCTGAACTTTCGCCTAGCCTTGGCGAAAGAGTGTTGGTAAAATGGGTAGGCAAACCCGGGCCGGGGCAAATTAAAAGCCGGGGCAGATCGAGATTTTTCAAATTTCTGTCTTCATACTATATCGATCGAGCTGAATTTTTCAGAATGTATTTAATACATGATTATTTATATTCGCTGCTAAAATTGCCATGAAATACTTTATATTGTAGATTTTATCGGCGATTATTGATTTTCAAGTTGGTAAAATGGGCATATATGGCAAGAAATTGGTACTGTGTTTTTAGGTGATACTTTTGTACCCTAGGGTACACCTCTATTTATCCTTTACCAATAAGGTTACAATTAGGGTACAGTACAAAACCATTGGAAAATGAAAGTAGAAAATTTCTGAAGGACTGTCAATGTAGCCAGGTTACAATGGGTACAGTGGTTACTTATTAACATGATTAACAGTAATAACACCTTTTCTACTTTTATCCTAAAACTATTTGATTTTAGAATTTAAACAGGGTACGGAGGAAACTATATGCCTACAAAATCACAACAATGGACATTTTCATAACTTAAAGTGTTTGATTCATATTAGCATGATCATGACCTAATGGCTTCAAAGGTGACTACATTACAAAAAACAACCACACTCATAAGTATTTAAGAGAGTATAAGTCAGCTTCTTACCTTTAATTATGATTATAATAGTCCTGATTCTTGAAGTTATAATTAGCTACACTGATAATTATATTCCAGACTTGAGCATTGCATGACACACCTGATACTGTATACCTATCGCAAATGATTAAATTTTACCTGTACCCCCACTCTGTCTGACAAACACAAACTCTACTAACAGTACCTGATGGTGTGTACTATACACAAACTGATCAAATCATTGTGATCATGTAGGATTGGGTGATCATTTACTTCCATTTCAGGCCAGACTAATTTAAATTACCCTATACACTGTATTTATCTTATCCAATACAATTTTGATAAGTAAATTAAAGTTATATAGTAATTTCTAAACAAGTTTAGCTAAACTTTATTAATATATTTGTAAATAGTACTAGTACTTTGAACAGATCATTTAATACCTTTTTTTAACAAAAGTATATACCATGGGTAGCTAGGTCCCTGCTATCATGGGCTGGTAGATTTGAGATTTTTACCAGCACAGAGATTTTTTTTATTTAAGCCCCTCCCATCACCATGAATATAATATATGTCACTTATCTGATAAAAATCTGCATTGCAAAACTCAGATGCTTTAAAATTTGTATTAAGAATTTTTATCCAATTAATTTATTATATTATTTCCTAAATTAACATAGTTTAATACTTTATAAATAAAAGACCATGAACAATGAAATTGAATCAAAAGCTTTTTCAAAATCGATTAAAACCAACAATCCTGGTACATTTTTAGCTTCTGTGTATGCCATTAAATCATAAATAAATCTGGTGTTTTCAACAAAATATCTTCCTTTTAGGAATTCAGTGTTAGTGTCTGAAATCAAAAGATCCAGAGTATATTTTATTCTGTAATTTAGTAGAGTTATGGTCTCCAATTGTTCAAAAATGGTCTGGGTTTATTCCCATTGGGTATACATGAAATTATCCCTAGTCTTTGTGAAATAGGAATTTTTTTTTTTTTTGACAATATACAATTTGTAGCTCGCATAATGTATGTAGACTTAAAGATCACTCCAGAAAATTTTTTTAAAAATTCAGTTGTGAATTAAGCTTTACCATATCACTTCCAGGAGATTTATCATTCTTCATATTTTTTAAAACTTGTAAAACTTCATTTTCTTCAATATCTTTTTCTTAATCAAAGAGGTGATTTTATCTAATTTTTGAATTTCAATTGAGTTAATAATTTTCTTCTAAATCAATATCAGTTAGTTTATAATCTGTATTAGAATATAAATCTTGATAAAACTTTTTGACTTGATTCAAAATTTCTGATTGATCATATATAAGGTGACTATGGCAGTATATACATGAACCCTGGTAAAACATGCATATAAATCTGTGAAAATTTTGATAATCTAAATTTAAGGCTCAGAAGGTATGTAAACATTGGGTTTGGGAAATGTTTTGCAGTGGAATTATAAAGTTGCAAAATCAAATATGCTAGGAAAAGCCAGTGAAATTTTTAGGTGGCAGCTAGTTTAAGGTAATTACCCATACCACGTGAAATAACGCTACATGACGTTATTCTCGTCAGTGACGTTATTACGTCAAACGCGCCCGACGCTTATTCCATCAAAAATGCCTGACGTCGATTTCACTTACTGTGAAAAGAAAGGTACATTAATTTCCAAATAAAAGGCATAAAAAATACGATGTTCAGTTATTTCCGGGATGCATGATCGAAGGAGAGTTTAAATTTAGATGATTCGTCAAACCGAAAGTACAACAAAGATGGCATGGACGGGAGATTGTCTCGAGTACAAGATAACTAAAAGACTTCGACAATCGGGTCGTTTTTTTTATCTCTTGTAAGTTGAAGAAATACAGAGTAACAACTAAATGGTTCTCTCGTCGAAAGTCTTTATCGTTTGCTTATATGTTTGTACATATACCTATACATAACCAAAATTTCGAACCACGGCTCAAGTATTCAGGTACCTAACTACTTTGCTTCAACGTAACGATTTTTAAATGTCGTTTGTTTGAATTGAAATATCGTCCTCGAAAATCGTCCTATGGGGAATGACTCAGGATTTGAAAAAAATTATGGAAAC